TTAGGTAAGCTCAGGGACTGAGGTTCGATCCCCAGTACCACATGGCACACTGACCCCACCCTTTGGTGCACTCAGCTGAGCCAGCCACTGAGACCCAGAGTGGTGGCGCACATCTGTAATCCCAGTGCTGGGAAGCCTATAACCTGGAAGATCACTACAAATCTGAGCTGCATAGTGAGATCCTGTACCAAAAACATTGAAAAAAAAAAAAAAAAGATTTCAGGGTCACTGTCTTAGTTACTTTTTACTCATTGCTGGGACAAATACCCGACACTCAAAATGAAGGAAGGAAAGGTTTATTTAGTTCACCGTTTGTGGAGGTTTCAGTCCATGTTCCGCTGGCTCCAAGGCAAATGACAGCAGTTTATGGCAGCAGAAAACAATGAAGAGCAGAGGAGGAGCTGCAGCTGCGGGGGTCCATCAAGCCTCTTTCTTCCTTCTGCACTGACTGCAAAGACTGGGACTCCACTGCAAAGATCCCGGCTCCTCCCAAGCGGCGCAGCTGCGAAGATCAAGCTCCTCCGAAGCCCGGGACTTCTCCACAGGACGCCCGGCAGGGCGGCCAGGAAGCCCTCCTCTACTCCCTTTTATATACACTTTTGTGCTGAGTCACTCTGGGGCAGCCCATGGCCCTAGGGTGGAACCAGTGGCACGCTACGGTGGGCCTGAGGCCCCCATGCCCGAGCTGCAGGAGCTGATTCAGCCAAGTTGACACAATGTGTCAACTACCACAGTCACAAAATATTTTCTTGTATTTCTTTTAGTGTTGTATAGATTTTTGTCTTATATATAGATCTCCAAGGGTGGTGGTTGTTGTTAATGATGTGAGGTAAAAATTAGTCTTTGATCTTTTTCCATCTTCCACTTGATCTTCAGTGTCACACAAGATGAGTCACTCTCCTCCTGTGGAGAGAACCGCCACACCTTCCCAATTTGCGATCTTGTTCTGAATTCTCTTTTTTGTCTTCTTCGATTTTTTTTTCCTGTAGTAATTCACACTGTTTCAGTTTATTCTTATTTTGTTTGTTTGTTTGGTTGGTTTTTGTGGGGGGTGTTACCAAGAATTGAACTTAAGACCTCGTGTTTGCCAGGTAGATGCTTGTGCCACTGTACTATATCCTCAGCCCTTTTTCTTGTTTTAAAATAGGCTTTGCTGCCCATTAGGAAACAGTGTTTCCTGTTCTACTGTAGATTTAGATAATTGTATCTCAGAGTGGCTTTTATGCCCGAGGAATCTGTTTCTCGTGGCATTGTTCAACATTTGCCAAACCTGACTTCACTTCCTGTCGGTGGGGTACCACGAAGAGGGGCCCAGTGGCTACTTCCGGCTTAGATCTTGTTGAAACGTCCCCCAGGTGTGGTGATTTCCAAGCCAAATCCCTCAGACTTAGGGAAATATGCTGTCTTCTGAAAAGGCCAATCCCTGGGGATGCTGGGGAATTTCCTAGGTGATCTGAACACTCCCATCCTACTCTCCTCAGAGGAGAGGAAAGACTTGGAGCCCTAGAGGGGAGCTGGAGGACAGAAAAGATAGCCCTGGCCCTGAGGAAAGGACTGAAGGTTCCAGGGTCAAGTGAGGCAGGTGGACTCTGGCTAAGAGCCGGCTGCTGGGGCTGCAGCAGGCTTCCTGTCTGGGACGCCCTAGGCATGACTCTGGAGTCCTTTGGCCCCAGTAGTCAGTTGCAGGGTTTTCTGTGTTATTTCTTTTGCTTCAGGTGTGTTTACTTAAATGACCAGGTCTATGATAGGTCTATTATAGGAACTTATATTACAGGCTCACACTTGCCTGGGATCCAGGCTGCGAGTTTCCACTTCCACTTCATGCCAGCCGCTTATGCTAGCAGCACCATCATTCCCGGAAGCTCACTTGCCAAACCACGTGGGAAGTGGTATCTGGGCTGCCTCCTTGCTCCCCCCTCCCTCTAGTGCCCCCTATGGGAAGAAGTCCTGAAGGGTGAGGGTCAAGCTTGCATTTCGTTATGAGCCTACACACAGGACGCTAGGCTGTGTAAGTCATGAGACAGGCATAGAGGAACAGAAAGTGCAGGTCCCCTGTGGGATGAGGCCAGCTTGCTCCATCCGAAGGGTGCTTCCAGGGCCCCAAGTGTTGTAGATTCCCACCTGGGCCAGTGTTTCACAGCCATGGCCAATTCTGCCACCTCCTTCTCCCAGGGGAGATTGGGCACGGCCTGGAGACGCTGTTAGTCGTCCTGACCAGGGGCAGAGTGTGTGGAAGCCAGGGTCCTAGTGGGAAACACAAGGTAGCCTCCCCCTCAAAGGTTCACCCCATCCCTGGTGGTGGTGATGGGCTTGGGAAGCTGTGGTGGAACCTGGTTGATCACAGGTTGTCTTTCTCCTCCTCTCACTTGTAGACCACAAATGCCTGACCCTCTATCTTACAATGTGTTATTATGTGATATTCAAATAATGAAGTCAGCTTTCCCATCTGAGTCATTTACAGATCATTGCTTTTCTACTCCGGTGGGAAGTCTGATCAGTGTTAAGACGCTCGTCGTGGGTAGCTCTTATCGCTCCCAACTTACAGATGAAATTGAGACTTGCGGGGAGCACAGCAAGGCTCCCTCTCACTGGTTTCTTATCTTCCCACTACCTGCCCCGTGCTGCTGTGTACGTTGCGTACTGCACGATGGTGCCATTTCTCAGGGATCACTATTCACGTCGCAGACATCCCAGATGTGTTCCGGTAATTTTCCTGGTAGATGGCAGTGAAGTGGCTTATTTTGGCAAAGTCAGGAATGTAAAGACTTTATAGACACTGTTTTCTAATGGATGGCAGTAAAGCTTCTAGAAAAATTTATGCCTCTTCCTAATGCTCACTGTGGTGTTAACTGGTAGCTTTGCATGTGTTACTGCCTGGGAGTTTTCCTCTTTGCCTGAGTAGGAGTCAGCCCTCCTCACTACCCGTGGTACACTGGTACTCGCTCTTGTAGAGTGGTGTAGGCCGCAGAGTGTGGATTTCCCAAACACGGCTTGTGCTGGAGAGGTGCAGCACCTTGAGATTGGGGTCATGGGACAAACGGAATGGCTTTGCTTGTTCACACTTCCTTTGGAGTTTAAGCCACCCCACACTTGGGCTGCCACAGAGCAGGCAGTGGGAGGTTGCTCGCAGCCAGGCTGCTGAGTGCCAAGCCGTGTGCTGCGTAGGTCTCGAGCAGCGGCAGGTGCTGGGCTCTAAGGATGGTGGGGCGAGCGCTGGAGCGCTGACCCACTGATAAACTCCCTGGAGGCCCCTCAGATATGGTGACAGTCAAGATACAGGACAACATCACTGACGGGTGGGGGACCTTTGTAGAAGTGGTGCCCCCTCACGCCCCCTTCACAGTCAGGACACCGCCCCCCACAGCACTGTCCTGTGCTAGCTTTCCTGTGAGGTCACATGGGGAATTAGAGGAGAAAGGCTGCTGCAGTTGCTTCTCTTGAAGAGGCCTTCATTTTTTCATTTATGCAAATACATTGGCATTCAGAGAATTAGTCTAATAAGAAACATGGTCTCATATAATGCCTTGTAGCTACCCCCGTTGGGTTGGAGATGGAGTGTGTAAAGGAATTACAACCCCATTTTATAATCTGAGTAAGAGAGACTGGCAGATTCGCCTTGCCCGGTGTGTGCCCGTGCCCTCAGTTTCCAGTGAGAAGCTCCCCATTCCTTGGGGGCGACGCATGTACAGTGAAAGCAGAGTGCACAGGAGGCGGTGGCCCTCATGAGGCGACACGCAGATGCTGGGGGCCACAGAACAGGACAGGCCCCTGGGGCAGGAGCTCAGGCCTGGTGCTGGGAGGAGAAACCTAGCCTGGGCTCTGACAGGCCTGAGGGTACTCTAGCTGGTGGCAGAGTGCCCCCAGAGCTGATCTAGGGGGACAGCGCCATCTCAAGGATAGGCCTGGGTCACAGAGATAGTAGTTTCCTGGAGGAAATCCCTGAGGGCTGCCCCCGCCCCTCAGGAGGCTCGCAATTGAGCAGCCAAAGGCACACAGCATTTCCAAGGTTGGAATTAGCGTGCGATCAGAGGCCCTGGCGCAGCCCTCCACCAAGGGGTCTATTTCTTTAAGAAATATTTTTTTTTTATCAAGAATGAATTTCTAAAATTAGGTTTCTATCCGTCTGAATGAGCTAATTAGGTGAGAAAGCCTAACTTTTAAAGATTCTGTAGGCTTCTGGCTGGCATTTAAAAAAAAGTGGCAGATGTATTCGAGCTGAAGAGAACGCAGAGTTTGATAACTGTGTTTAAAAACCACACTTGATGGTGCTGATACAAAGAAGGTCTTGGGGTCTGTAGTTTGCACCCCAACATGGGATCACTTCCAGTGGTCAGGTGAGCATAACCTGTATTTTAATTGGACTGACAGCATGCCTGGGGTGATCCCCAGAGCCCCAGAGGATGCTGGTCATATCAGCACAGTGTGAATCACTTCCCCTTGCAAACCCAAAAGTGCTGGGCTTGGACGACAAATGCCGCAACTGCCCTAATTCTGAGGGATGCCCTTGGGACCTTTGGCTCCTTCCGTGAATCCTCAGGGGCCAGAAGGGATGCTCTTGGCTTAAGGGCATTGGCCCACACAGGCATTCCATATTTCTGAAGTGGTCATATTGTTTTGCTTGCATATAAAACTATCATTGCAAAAAAAGTGGGAAGGGAAATGGCATAAATAAAAGTTATCATAAACCTAGAAGTAGGTGTTCACACTTTGATTTATGTGTATATATATATATATGATATAAATCATAAATATTGCTATCCTCATATTGTCTATTAGTCGTATATTTTATATACTTTATATTCTCATTTTCCAAACCAAGTCATTTTTACAGAGTAGCATTCCATGTACACATACCATGGATATATAAACGAACTATGTAATATTTAGAATTATATAATAATATAGTTAACATAGGTCAATATAATCCCTTTTAAAGACTATACACTATTCCAGTGAGTGTTTTTTCTTGAGCAATAATATATATATATATATATATTTAGCAGTTTCCACTTTAATATCAAAGGATCCATGATAATTTCAGTTGAAGGATGACACAAGACTGATTGGACAGTAATATTCAGTGAAATTCACTTCAAGATAATAGAGCATTTTATAATATAAAAATAATTCTTTTAATTAAAAAGAGTATGCGAGAGGTCCAGGGTGTATCCTTAAAGCAGTATGAAAGTACGAAGGCGGAGCCACATCTGGACGCGATTCAACAAGCCACAGGGATCCTAAGCCTCATAGGGAGTTGGATACACGATTTTTTAAAGTTTTAAATAATGCAGCTGCTCTTGCTCTCAGGTAAGATGCATCTGAAGGGAGGCTGCAGAAACTCTTAACGACTTGGGGGTTCTCTGGAAGTGACGTACACTCTCGGCGCTTGTGTATGTACAGGGAGGACACCCCCAGCAGAAGCGCTGGGCTGCTTTTTGCACAGGTGGTTGCCCAAACCCATCTGCAAGGGATTTACATTTGCAGTCACACTGAGGATTCAGAATTAGAACTTGGCCCATTTCCATCTTCTCGCGATTCTCAGTATGCTTAAAATGCCCAGATTCCCCAGCATTGTATCTCAGGCAAGGCTGAGTCATGTTCCTTGTGCCGTTTTGAGGAATCACTGAGTTGGCCTCCCCTGGCTTTCCTGGGGCCATGGTGTAGGAGGGCAGTCTCTCGGCAGAGGCTCCGTGTCCTCTGTGCTCTGGGACCCCAGGACCCCCGTGGCCGCCTGAGGACTGCCCCACTCATGTCCACTGGCTTCTGGTGCCTTGCACACACATTTTACATCCCTGGAAAGCAGGACTTCCTCTCGCTTCTGCTGTCGCCACCAGCCCAGCATCAGCTGTCCATTTGGCCACAAGCTTGAAACCGCTTGTCCTCTCGTCCATCTGGACGCCCAGGTGCCCGCCCGCCGCCCACTACCGAGCAATAGTATATTTAACTAATACCTAATTACAGGCCTTTAGGTTATTTCAATTTTTAAATATGTTTATAACAGTGATGTAATAAATGTTTTATGATGCTAAATCTTTTTGTACATTGACATATATTCTTTTTTCTACATGCAGAACTGCCAAATCAAAGGGGATATACACTTAAATTTTTTTTTTTTTTTTTTTTTTTTTTTTTTTTTGAGACAGGGTCTGTGTATATAGTCCAGGATGGGCTTGAACTCACTGTGGAACCCAAACTGGCCTCAAACTCACAGCAATCCTCCTGCCTCGGCCTCCTGAGTGCTGGAATCACAGGTGTGTACCACTATGCCCAACTTCAAATTGGCAAACTTGATTGGAACGTGTGAGAATTCCCACTTCCCCATGGCCCCTTGTGTGCTGTACCAGCCGTTCTTTCTCATCTTTCATTCTGAGAAAGAATTTCATCTTCTGGTCATTTTCAGTCAGATCTTTGGTTAACAATGCTTTGTATTTTTTTTTCTCTTATTTGTAAATTGCCCTCTTTTCTATTAGAGTGTTGGTCTTTCTCTTATTGAATAGTAAGAGCTACTTCCATATTAAATAAAATGACTCAGGTTACAAATTGCAAGGTTCTTTTCTTTTTGTTATTTGTCTTCTATTTATAGATTTCTGTGTGTGCATATGAATCTGTGGATTCGGAAGCCGTTGTTCTCCTGTAATTATATCAGCCTGTTCCTTTATAGAGTTAGGAGCTTTATGAGGACCAGGTTTTCAACAGCACGTGCCTGTGAAATGTTTGCAGTGTCCTCTGACACCTGTCCCCTTTTGGAATAGCCCTTGTTCTAAGTGCTGGCATCAGAGAGGGCTATGGCATCACTTCTGCTTCTAATCTCTCAGAAGGGCTTAGTCACCTTCCGAATTCACAGACAAGTCACTGCAAATGGGAATTGGTGCCACGTGCTCTTTCACTGGGCCGCATCCGCATGCCTTCCTCATTCATGGAAAGCTGTGTGGAAGTTGGAAGGGACTAGTTGGTGTAGATGTTTTGCAGGGTGAATCATATTGTCCCATTGATATGCTGGAAGTGCACTGATGTGTTCTCAAAAAACTGTAGCACCCACCCCAGATGCTAATACATAGTTAAGAAAATGCCACAGCCTGTTGCAGCTGCCCAGTGACAGCAGCTTTCCATGCAGTGGCACTCCCTGAGGGGCAGCAGGCCAGGCAAGCCACCTCCAGAGCCAGCTGCACAGGGCCATTGCAGGTGACCTCATGTCTGGGCCCTGGCTCTGGCGTGCCTAGCTGAAGCACCTGCAAGCTCTCAAGATTTCTGTATAAAGCACTGTCCTTGGGCTCTGCTGTGCCTGCTTAGCCCTCCTTATACCAGGGGCAGAGGAAGAAGAGAACCCACTACACTTACAGATCTCTAGACACTTCCTTGGCTGTCGCTACCAATTCCCCCCCCTATCAGAGTCTGCGGTAGGGGAGGGAGAGGGCCACACTTGTGCCAGCGTCCAAGGTGGAGTCATGGAGACTCAGGGTGGAGTCTGAGCACAGCCTGAGGGCCCCAAACGCGGTGCTGAGGGCTTCTTACAAGCACCCTGACTGGGGTCCGGGAGGAGACCCGAGGTGCTGTGCTTTATGAGGAAGTGTTGAAGAAGAGCGAGACTAGCAGCTAGAGCAACCCGCTGCCACCAGCATGGAGCCGGCTCTGTGGTGCACACCTGGGCCCTCGACCTAGGGTGTGGGGACAGTCTGTCCTGTGGCCTGAACCTGGGCTGCTCGACAAAGTGCACCACAAGTCTCGTCACGTAGGAGAAGATCAGTGAGTTTCCCCTCTGCCTACTCAGGGCCACTCGGTCTCCCTGTCCCCCGCCTTTCTGTTCAGTACCACAAAAGCCAGACAATGAGTTAGCTGCAATACCACTCTCCTCAGACTGTCAGGGAGGAAGAGAAACCAAATATGGACCAAACCCAGGTCTTTTTTGTGGTCAAAGCTCACTGGGAAGTAAACTTTAAGTCTTGCTACCCACTCAGCAATCTACGTCCCCGCCAGTGGCTGCTGATAAGATGGAGCCCTCACGAGGAGATAGCCTGAGAGCTGACCCTAACTAACAGATGGCCACCACTACTGACGAGCTGGATCTGAGTTGGGCAAGCTGGCTCAATCACAGGAATTATGAGTCCATTCTTCTCCCTTTTCATGGTGTGGGGATGCGGGTGATAGAATAGAACATCTCTATTTTCTCTCTCAAGAAGTAGTTGCCCAGCTCTCCTGTGTTGCAGGCCTTAGCAGAGAGTGAGAAGGAGGCACTGGATGTGTTACATCTTGATTTTGCAAGGGTGCCTCATGGAGTCACTAAAGACATCTGTGGGAGGCTGATGGTGGCCCTAAAGACATCTGGTCCTAATCTCTGAAACCCATGAACATTACATTACACAGTGAAGACTTCACGAAGTCTTCCTGGATGTCGTTATATATACCGGGAACTATGATGGAAGCTGAGGGAAGTTCTGTGGCACACACAGAAGAGGAGAAGATGTAAAGGGGGAACACAGAAAGATGGAGCGATGCCAGAAGGAAAGAGTCCTCACACAAGGGAACAGCACAGCCACCAGCCACAGAGCACCATGGTCAGGAAGCGGAAGAAGCGAGAGCCACTGGGGGGTGTGGCCTTGACTCTGCCCCAAAGAAGTGTGTGCCAAACTTCTCACCTCCACAACTGTCAGAGAATAAATTTGTGTTTCTCTAAGCAAAGTTGTGGTTCCTGGTCACAATAGCCGCAGGGCCAACTTTGTAGGTATAGTGGAAGCCTGGGTCTAGAAGACAGTTCAGGTGAGTAGAGTCACAGCTACCTGCGCAACACTCACTTGAGAAATGCTTACTGAGTGACTACAGTGCTCCAGGCACAGGACAATAAGCTTGCTATGTTTGAATAAGGCAGACAGTATCCCTACTGATGCTGTAGTGGGAGGCAGTGGGTAAATAAAAAGTGTAAAGGGGTGATTTTAGCTAGAGGTAAGTGTTTTCAAGAGAATTAAATAAGGCAATGTGGAGTTCGTGGGAGTAGGAAGGCCTTTGTGATACCATATTGTGTGGGCTAAATCCTAAATATCAAGAAGGAGTTGCCTTAGACCAAAGGCTTTCCAAGGGGAGGAGGTTTCCAGCGCAAAGGCCCTGGGCTGGGAATGAATGTGCTTGAGAAACAAGTGGCAGGACCAGTATGTTGGGTCATTTTGATTGTCAACCCAATTGAATTGAGAAGTGCCTGAGAAATTAATAAAGCACAGTGTGGGTGTGTTGGTCAGCTGCATCCAGAGCCCCTTAGCATGGGGGACTGAGCAAGGAGCTCCACCCCAAATGTGGCTGATACCATCCAACAGGCAGGAGGACCAGATGGGACAGAAGGGGAAGAAGGCGGAGGCCCACCGGAGCTTCCCCTCCCCAGCCCCTGCCTCGCTCCCCGCTTCCTCCTCTCTGAGCAGCCCTCCTCCACCAGGCCCTTGTACCATCATATTCCTGCTTCACCACAGTCCTATAAACAGTGAGGTCAGGTGACCTTTGACCACAAGCCCAAATAAATCTTTCCTCCTTTGTCTCAGGCATTTTGCCACAGCAACAGAAAGCTAACACAACCAGATCTCACCAAACCCATGTAGAAAGCAAGTACCCATGAAAGGCTCAGGGGTCTGTCCCAGGTCCTCTCCTATAACTGAATCGAACATAAGAAATCTTGTTTGTAAAGCTTCTGGTAAGACTTACGTAATATTTGGTTCTAGTCAGGGATTAGGGTTTAAAATACCTCAGTGAACTTGCACGCCCCCCCCCCAATAAAATTCGTCTGGTACAAAAATGTGACTTTGGATCCAACAAAATGATTTACCTGAGTCAGAAAGGGACCTCACCTGAATGTGGGACTTGGCAGACCCAGAGCTCCACATCAGCAAAAATGGGGTGAGGCTCAAAAAAGGTGGAGCACTTTTACAGATATTTTTAACATTTGGGGTATGCTGCAAGGCTGGGGAGAGGTAGCCGGGGCCTATTCCCAGAGTACTGGGTGGGCAGCACCTGACAGGCAGCCACTGGAGCAGTTCACTCACGTGCTTGCCCACACATGAATGTGTAATGGGTGGCCTGGCCACGGGCTGGGCTGGAGATAACAGTGCACAGGGTGGAAACACCTCCTGACCTCACAGAGCTGCCTCTAGCTGGACGTGGTGGACCGCATTGGGTAATTATTGTCTTTTTACTGTATTAGATTTTTTTTCAGAAGATGAAACTATTTCATAGTAATAAAGTAGCAAAGTCAAACATTATGGAAATATATAACATAATAAAGAGGAACACAGAAAAAAAAAAAAAAACAACAAAAAAAGGGCCCGA